TGGTAACTTTTAGGCGAGCTTACTATAATTTACTTCTAATTTACTTAATTTTGCAGCATATTGCGCAAAAAATTATCTACACCAAATTGGTCATACAGTATTGTACTAACTACCTTGCTTGTTAATATTAAAAATCAATAGTACATATTTTTAAGACATCAATTTTTTTCACACTAACTGCAACATAAAAATATAAAATGCATGAACATAAGAAAACACAAAAATTAATGAACAACAACAGAATATACATTTATTCTTTCACCCGTGACAGCTGTTGAAACTTGTTAAAACATATTCTGGTCAAATGCCAATGACACCATCTGCATGTAAGTGCACTCTTTACATTTAAAAAACACTCTACAAGCTAACCTCTAGAACAAGATTGATCGATGAGCCTCTGCAATTAACGATAGTTTCTAGCAATTTTTCTCCACGGTTACTATATTAAAATTTAAACACCATATGTTGCTATAAGCAAAAGTTATAGTAAGAAATAAGTAAGTTTATAACTGTTTACATGCAACTATTTTTTGTTTGCATTAAAAAAATATTTAGTAAATAAAAAAAAATGAGAATTGGTAGTCATTATTTATTATCAAGTTTCATTCCATTGGAAAGTTTTTGGCATTTTTTAATTTTCATTTGAAGTAAGTTATTTGGCGGTTAATTCAAAGCATTAGAATAAACTTGAAATACATACCACAATGAAAATTCAATATTTAAATGACATCTTAATTAAAAAGTGCAACCAACAGCAATTTATTGCAGATAGATTTTAAATAGAAATTTCTTTCAGATTTTAGACAGAAAATAAATTGGTTTTCCCCCTCTTTGCATAATAATTATAAACCCAAAAAGACTATTAGTCTTGAAAAAGACTATTAGTTTTGTGTTTTTCACTTTTCATTCAAGGTCTGCTGCTATTTGATAAAATGTAAGATATTTATTTAATCGATTTATCTACCAAATTTAATCCATTTGTTATTGATGAACAAACTAATGTGTTTAAAAGAAACAAATGCAGCTTTTAAGAATATTATTTTACTTTTTAAACTGACTAATTTCAGTAAAATGCATTTAATTTATGATATACCATATATTTTCAAATGTAAGCAGATAATGCAGTTTTTCTTCAAAAATTTACCCAAAATTCAAGACCTACATGTAAGGTGAAATACAAAAAATCTTGTAATGTTCAAACATGCTGTTAAGAAGGCGAAAATGCTTCCAAGCAGGTAAAACAAGTGGAATATTTCCCAGTTAAATCACTAAAAAGTAAAATGCCAGATGACAACACTGATAATTTTAAGTCTGGTAACCCTATCTGAAGCTAGTACCTTTATTCCATTTATTAGTTGCCTGTCATAAAATCTGTGTTATCTGTGTTACCCTCTTTTTCTGTGTCATTTTACTTTTGTCTGAAATTATTTGAGTATAAAGAGAACATCTCACACAACAAATTTCAAATTACATGTGTTCGCCAAAATTTCTAACCATGATATGGCAGCTCAGTTCTTCCTAAATGGAAAATAGGTTTAAAAATGGAAAAAGCTGGGCACAAATTTTGCCAACAGATCTTTTGTTCTGATGATGACACAAACCAGCAATATAAACAATTTCAAAAATAAAACGACTCATTTTCATAAAATGAATAACTCTTTTCATTTAAAAAATATTTTTTTGTCACCTTAAGAAATAAAAAAAGTGTGATATTTAGAGATTTATAACTTGTGCCCGACTAACGGAAAAATACTCAAAAGTTGTTAGCAAGATCAGCAGATCTTTATATAAGCCAACCCCCATAATTTAGCTTCAGAAAAAGTTCCAAAAATCCTCAGCTTATATGCAGAACTACACAGTACCAAATTAAAAGCATTTAATATGTTTATAGAATTACATTACATATTTTTTCACAACAGATATAGTACAGAAGACATAACACACTTCCATCTAGTCTAAATGCATATCCATTTAATATCCTGTAAAATGTTTTGCTATTCTGTAGAGGCATTAGTTATTTAGAGGCAGGAGAGATGAAAAATGAGCAATGCCTTCGCCGGGACTCGAACCACAGATCTCTCGAAAACACATCGAGCGTGCTTGCCACTACACCACAAAGGCATGCTAAGAAAGTGGGAGAAATACCTTATATACTCCCCCCTTTTAAAGAGCGACTGGGGATTTGGGAAAACCAATCGCCAAATCTGGTGGTGGAGAATCATCATCTGCCACCTTTTTTAGTTTGTGCACCACTGTAGAGACACTAGGGTTTTTTTGGAAGCAGGAAGCAATGCGCTCGCCGGGACTCGAACCACAGACCTGTCAAATACAGATCAAGCGTGCTTGTCACTTCAACATGAAGACATGCTAAGAAAGTGAGAGAAATACCTTATAATTCTACCTGGGATATCTGTATTGATAATCTCTATTGATAACCATATTACTCTTGGGCAATCATTAAAGTATTTCAGATTTTTAAAGTTTAAAAAAAATTTTTTGTTAGTTTTATTTATTTTTTGTTTTTATTTTTCCCCCTAGTTATGCAAATTTTGATAAATATTTAGTTAAAAAAAAACTTTCAGCTTCTAGTTCGTGCATTCGGCCTGCGTACAATTTTTGTTTGAGATTGCTGACTCATATGAAGTTTCTCTCCCCAAAATGACTAAAATTGAAATCACAGGCATTGCACTGGCAACATGTCCAGGAGCAAAGTGGAATATTTTAAGAAAATTTTTGGCTTATTATATAAAATTAGGTGTCACTACAAAGTATCCTATGGTTCTTGTCCATCAACTACATTACTGACATTTGTAACTCCTGAAGTTTTCCATTTTGCACTCATATTGTTCATAATTGAAAGTCACTTTTAACACTGCTGAAATTTTATGCATGCATTTTCCTCAATTTAAGCGATTTTCAGTAAGCACCAATTTCCAAACTAACCAAGTGTTTACCGCCATTTCACCTTTTGAAGTTTCTGTGATGTATCTGACTATGCCTACTTCCTTTTATATACACTTCAAATAATATTTCCTTTTAAATATGCCTTTTAGGGTGTACACTGTGCAAAAAAAGGGCAGACAGTTCTATATCTTTTGTCTACTGGACCAATTCAAATTGCGTTTTCCATGTCTCGAAAACGCAGCTCAGGATATATATTACCTTTTTATATATATAGCTTTGTTCTAACACAGGTATTTTAGCACAAAATTGGACTTTTTTCTGAAATAATATACCATTTTTTTCCATATTTTGATTCTTTGACTCAAATTATGCCTAGATATTAAATTTTGTAATTTTTGGTGAGAAATTTACGAAGAAATTTAAAAATTTATCTTGGCGACTTTTTCAGTTTGCACCAAGAATAATTCACTCTGCGAATTTCTTAATTTATAGCAACCTATTTTCTTTTCCTTTTTCTTCACTATTCACAAGTGGGAAAAAAGTCATCATTCATACTTACATGATACATACAAATAATTTTAACAAAGTGGGTACATATTTTCATTATTATCGCTTATAATAAATGTGCCAAAATATAAATTCACGCATATCTTAGGAAATTTTGAATAAGAAACTTTAATTTTTTGCAGGTATGCTTAGAAATACATCTACTTTAAAATGATGGCAAAAATTTTCTGTCATAATTCAATTTTTTTTTCAAAAAATTTATAAAAATTATTTTAAAATACAAATTTGAAAAATAAATCATAAAAACAGGCGAATTTTATTTAGAATGAACCTAAATTTCGAAATATGAAAGAAAGAATCAAATAAGTTTAATAAAAAAAGAGATATTAATAAATGTATATAAATTAACAATGAGGAGCTAAAATTTAGAGAGCTAATGTTTTAAAAACTACTCGTGCGATTTTTACAAAACTTGGCAGTTTGGCATAATTTGAGTCACAGAATCAAAATACGGAAAAAAATTGACATGTCATTTCAGAAAAAGTCCGATTTTGTTTCAAAATACCTGTATTAGAACAATGCTATGTATAAATCTAATACAAATCCTAAGTCCTGCTTTCAAGACATGAGAAACGCATGTTGAATTTCCTCAATCGGCCCACAAGAATGGGAGATATAAAACTGTCCCCCCTTTTCTTTGAGCAGTGTACATAAAGAATATAAATTTCTTTTACATACACACATTAGTATTAGTGGGCATATCTATAACTTTCCAGTAGTGTTGATGTATTTTTGGTACTTGTGTGCTATTGCAACCACCTTCGTAGAAGTTGCCAACAATGTGCATAACCATTCTTCAGACAACTATGCTCCAAGCAATTTGGCTATTTTCATATGCGTTGTTTTTGTGGTATTCAAACTTCCAACAGTTTTTATTAACAAATCATGATACTTTACTTCTCAGACGTAATTTGAAAATATGCACTTGTGAAATTTGCCAGCTATAGAAGAAATAGTAATAGCGCAGTAAAATTTCTATAGGAATACAGAATTTTGATGCAAAATTTCTAAAGGGAATGACGAAGAGATGATGAATAATAAAGGGAATGACAAAGAGTTTGGTAAGTGGATGGCGTTCCTGAGGTTTGTATAATGCAAAGTTTCTGCAAGTCTGTTTTTTTTTTTTTTTTTTTGAAAGCAGACTCCCATACACTCAAGAATAGTGCAAAAAGAAAATTACAAAAAGATTTGGAAAAGCATGTAAGTGTTTTATTTTTTTAATGTATCATGTAATCTTTACTTAGAAATTAAAATTTGCATTTTAAATTGCTGAAGTATGTTTTCATTACATACGTCAATAATGTTAACTAACTAATGATAAATATCAATAGCTTGAGATTCACCTTTTCATCTGTTCAAAATCACCTATCTGGATCAAAGTGGTGCTAAATATTTTTAATCAAACAACACTACATATTTTGCTGAATACATGCATATAAATTACTGTTAACAGCCAGAATTTAAGCTCTTTAAAGCATAATATACTAATTTTTATACCAAAAGTGTAAATAACAGGTGAAGCAATTTACCTTGCATTGTAATTCGATATAAAATTCATCAATTTTGAAGCAACAGCTTGCACAACATCTGTTAAAAGTAACTGGCTGCTGCCCTATAATAATAGCATTCAAATATGAGTGACATGCTAAACATGTATTAGCATTTATTACAAATTAAATATAAAAGATGCAAAAGAAATAATCCAGCTTTAAATTCAGGGGAATTTTAACTTTGGATTGGCATTGATTTTAAGCAAATACACTGAACTTTCTGAGTAGTAATATGAACATGAATCTCTTTTCTTCAAGAAACAATATTCTGCAAACAACTATACTGCTTTATATATGTTACCTGCAATTTATGAAATACATTTATAGAACACCTAGGCATAAAAATAGCTTGCATTTTTAGGCAAAGTATGAAATAGAATTATTATATACTTTCCCTAGTATTCTATAGAATGGCAAATGTTATTTAGGCAAAGTATGAGAAAAGGTTAGAATAAGGCTTATTTAAAAGATGTGCATTCCTCAAAAGCATAAATGTTTTTTCAAAAAAAAAAAAAAAAAAAAAAAAAAAAAAATATGAAAGAGTGCAAATTAAAACTGTTATTCAAAATAGGGGAAAAAATGAAAGCTTTACAAAACAAAATTTATGACTCTGTTATTAAAGAAAACAATGTATGAAATATATAGAGTTATGCAATGAATGTATTAAATGTTTGTATTATACATGAAAGTATTAAATAAACAGATACTTAAAACAAATCACAGATGTATTTCACACTTTTCCAATCTGTTATTTGGCATTCTATAGAATGCCCAGAAGTGTATGAAATTTTAATATTATTATACACTGCTGCCCAGTTTTCGGTATTTTATAAAATGCCTAAGAATGCCAGATTTCATACATTACTGGTATACAATATTTGCTAGTGCTTATCGAATAATGAGGGGTAAAAAGAGGAAGTTAAAATATTATAAGAGATTTGAATAATTTTGAAAAGTTAAGAAATAAAATACATACATATATATTAATTATGATAGTAGTATAGATTCGGGTGACTTTGAAACTTATAAAATCTAATATATCAGTTGATTTTTTTTTTTTTTTTTAAAGATTTAGAAAAATAGCACTTGAAAAACTAGTTAGTTGAATGATCAAAATACACTGGCTTCCAAAAGTTAAGTAATAAATGGAAACTGATGATAACTCAAAAAGTAAGCAAGCAAGTTGGACAAAGCTTGTTGATAATATTTATCATATCACTTATAATTTAAAAACACAAGAAAATGTTATAGAGTGTTTACATTTTGCTATATTAGCAGGAACATAAAAATCTCATAAATTCAGCATATAAACTAATTGCAAAATGATTTCTCAATAGTGTCAAATCATCCCGAACAGTGATAGAGGCCTGATAGTGATGTGTCATGCTTCTTATGATGTCATCTATAAGTTAAATGGGTAACAATGCACCCTGATCACATAAAGCAGTTCTAGGCTCATCTAAGGTTTGGGGAGAGCATTGAGACTAACAACACACCTCCCGAATGCAGCCTACATGTGCTCCATGGGATTAAGGTTGAGAAAATGCATCTGAATAGTTCTTCCGAGAAATTGGTGCATAATGCGAGCAGTATGATGGTGAGCATCATCTGCTTGCAAACTGAACATATCACAAACTGTAGCAGCATATAGACAAACAACAGGATCCAGTACGTCACCTTCGTATCTCTGAGCATTGAAAGTTCCATGTGGTAGTACACCCTCCTAAAGATATTTTTCCTCATATAAGAAAATTACCTCCTACATAGGTATCCATTTTCATATGTTAGATGGAAGATATCAGTTTTTTTTCTCTCCATATGTAAATACATTGAGAATTTATCCATAAAGCAAAGTGCGACTGTTCAGTGACTCCATTGATTTTTGGTCCAGTTTATGTAACAGCGTGCCCAATTCAAGCTTTCCATCTGGTGGCGTGAGTTAAGCAAGATGCAAAATAATTCTCTTTCATGCAGCCTTCTGCACAATGTCATGGCTGATGCTGTCTTTCCTGCAGCAGAAATAAGCATGCATCTAAGCTGGGATGAAGTTGCAGTCCTGTTGCAATGAGCACTACATTGCAAATATGGTCATCTGTAGAAGTGCAAACTCTCGGCCTATCTTCAGCAGGTCATCAAGAGGCTGAACCAGTAGTTAGAAATTGGTTCCACAACCAACTTCACACAGAATAGTTGGCATATAGCCACCTTACAACATCAGACCCCTTCTAACTGGCCTATGCAATTCTGCTGTCAAATGCCACCTTAAACACACTTTTACACTTAAGCTCTCTTGAAATTGTTTAATATAGATTCATTTATTTAACAGTTGTTCCCTCTTAAACAGCTGGTTTTAAGCGGCATTGTATTTACATAAAGTGACAGCAGTACCCCTCTACTGCAGAAAACTACTCAAAGCACTTTGTTTTTATTTATAACACATCCAGATTTTAAAAATTTCAAACTTCTTTTAGCTGATTCCTCCTGATTTTTCATATTGTTGCTTAACTTTTGGAATCAGCATAGTTAACAACATCAAATATATTAATTTCTCTCTTCTGATGCCAGATTTCTTTAATCAAAATACAAGTTTCATCTTTTCTCATTCAAGATTCACATTCTTAAATTTTAAAATTTAAGAATGTGAGGAACTTCTTAAAGCTTAATTTCACTATAGTACATTAAATTTTAATGACCAGAAATGTCATAAATATTTTCAGCATTCATATCTAATAGAGCATCTTTAAATGGACTGAATTCCTGATTTTATTAATAGATGAAGAACATATACAGCAATTTTATAATTAAAAGAAAAATTTATGTTAAAGAATTATTGTGTTCCCCACCATAAAAAAATATTTCTAGTAACAATAAAAGGAATGCTTTTTTATAAGCTTTACCAATAATAAAAAGGCAAAACCTTAATGAAAGGGAGAGAAGCAGAAGTTCTTGAGATACAGTGTGAGTCTGTAAAGCTTTAGTTTTAATATGATCATGACAATTTCTATACTTAGATTTAAGAACACTATATTTTACACTAATTGTAAAAAATAACATGCAAAAGTTTGATTCCTGTACATTGAAAATTGACCAAGATATTTAATTTTAAAATCAGGACATTTGATTTCATTTTCAACTTGCCTTCAAAGGTTGGTCGGTAAATGAATCAGAATTATTTGAAAGTTATTTTTTCCCCTTAAATGCCATTCAATGATATTCCTGTGATGTACTGTGATTTACTAGCATGTAATACATAAGGTTTTTACATATAATTTTGTTTGGTGTGCCAAAAGAATTTTCAAAGAAGTAACTTACAGGTTTTCAGGAATTAAAAATACATATTAATATTCTCATGAAGTTTTACTACTTTACAATCATAATCTAAATAACCCCATAATTTTTTTTATTGAGCTACAAATATTTAATATTTTTCATTCTTAATTTATGCAAATAAATTATGGGTTGGCTTTGTGTCAATACTGAAAAGCCTTCAAATGTTTTCTAGAACATGAATTCTATAAGAGATTCTGTAAATAATAGCTCCTTTTTGAAGATACTTTTATTCATGAATACTTTTCCAACAATCTGCATAGAAAGGCTCATCATTTAATCTGTTAAGAAATATTTTTCTACACTGATATTTTATTTTTAGCTATGTACAAATGCAAACATTTTTGGCCTCTAATTTGTGTATAGCCCCAACACATGACCTCCATTCATATGAAATAACTTGGTCAATTTTTGTTGCATAGATATTACTTTTCGTATTTCTTATAAAACAAAGTATAAAATTTTTCTAAATATATGTACAACAACCAAAGGAACTTAAAAAAAGTTCGATTTTATAATTTTTCAAAACTGATTTTTTTAAATTTAAAAATGCTAAAACATGATTATTTGAGTTACTTAAAATATTTTTGTAATTGGAAGTGTATGATTACAACAGACAGTTGCTATAAATAAAGGATCATTATGGGCATGGTGTACACTGCCAAGTTTTTAATCACTAATTTTTCTAGATTTCTTCAACAATTTTTTTTACAATGAAAAAAATTCATTTGAATTTATCCACAAGTTCAAGAATATATTTTTTTAAAGAAAACTCTTTCTTTTTTACCTTCATGTATGGCTTGAATTTTCATACTTTCCAGTTCTAAAATATTTGATGATTTTTCTATATTTTCTCCATCTATATTTATTACTATTCACATCTTCATGAACAATTTTTAAATAATACAAGAATTTTAATTGCTTTTACAGTTTTAAATCATATATAATACAGCAGATGCAATTTCATTGGGCATAATTTCCAAACTAAAAAATGCACAGAATATTTTTATTTTTACTCTGAGCCGCCTTAGCCATAGCTGTTACTCACTTAGCACCACCCAGGAGGCACGTGTGAATTAAGGATATCATGGATGTAAGTAACATTGCCTTTTTTAAAACTTTTTACAGAGGATTTCTCAATGGAGGAATTGAATAAGGCTATCAAAGACACTGAAAACAGTAAACAACCAGGACCAGATGATATATTAACAGAATTCATGACACATTTGGAACAATCTGCGAGAAATTTCCTTTCAATGATTTACAATAAGTTCTGAAAAACAAAACTCAATCTCCTAGCAAACTAGCTGGAGGCAAAGACCATTCCAATTCTAAAGCCAGGAAAACCATCTGAAGATATAGAATCGTACCGACCAAGCTCACTGACTTCTATTACATTCAAGATGTTTGAAAGAATGATAACTGCAAGAGTAAAGTTTTACCTGGAGTCGAACAAGATTCTGACAGAAGAACAGACTGGTTTCATAAATGACATGTCAATTACTAATTCAATTTTGAAGTTGATTCACAACATTAAAACCAGTTTCAATGCAGGGAAAAGCTCTTTGTCTGTCTTTGTTGAACCATTTTCAATTCAGGGAAAAGCTCTTTGTCTTTGTTGATTTCCAGGGAGCCTATGACACAACATGGAGAAGAAGACTTCTAAACAAACTTTGCATTTATGGAATTGCCAGAAAAATGTATAACTGGTACAAAAAGTTTTTATCCCAAAGAC